CCATACAAACGACTCATTCACGACATAAACATCACAAACGACCGAAAAAGAACGACCTAACTTTACCGACAGATCGAAACAGACCAATCACGACCGACTTACGTCACTTGAGTCTTACAGCCAATAACATCACGGCAAAACCAACCGATCATTTCACACGAACTGGAATAAGAACATTCTACTGACAACAATCATTCACTTGACTCTGATGATGACTTCCGCACAGGTTGTCGAAACGTCAGTCACTACCACCGACAACAGTCCTTCTCAGGACTACACTCACCCGGACGATCAGACTACACCTTCACATGTTACCCCCGGGTTCAAACCATTTACTGCATTATTATTATTATTATTATTATATTAAATGAGTGACGCTCATGTCCTGCAGGACTGGTTGGTTGTTCCGCTCTCGCACAGAATAAGTATCTTACCCGACATAACGCAGCCTTGAAAATACTTTTCTTTGAAATTGTGCACGACCTAAGCCTTGCAGACACAGTCCCCCCTTGGTGCTCGCCATTAAAACCGAAGCCAGTGTACGAGGCGAACAATGTGCAAGCATTCTGGGACGTTCCTTTATTTGCGGAGCACAAGAAGTTAGATCCAACAGAATAAATGCGCGTATTATCGACCATGTATCAAGGCGAGTCATCACGTTGGAGATGAGCTGCCCATGGATTACAAATAGGGGGAAAAAGAATGAGGAAAAAACCTCGAAATACGGACCGCTTCGTTGGGAATTAAAGCGGAAGTACTAAGGATATGAAGTGAAACAATATAATATCATAATAGACGCATTAGGGGGATGGTGTCGTGACTTAGAAGCCGAAATGAAGGGGTTGGTCGGAAACTAGAGTAAGGGAGTTCTTCAAAATATGCAGAAGGCTGTGATCTCGGGAACACTAAATATCTCTCGGACATTTAAAGTTGTAACATGAACAACGAACATCGCTTTCTATTTAACTCTTTGCCTTCAAAAATTCTGTGGACTATGAGAAACTTAGGAAGTGGTCGTCACCGATTAACTCTTTCATAGCCGAAATAAGTAATAGGTTTTTAAAGATTTTATAACGACTATTTTAGATTCGGATACCCGAAATACCTATTTTTTTTATTTCTCGAGGGTTTTTTTTTTTCACTATAGTTAACGGGCTACGCTCATGCACTCCGTCCAAATATTCTTACTGTATATAGCATACAAAAGTTTGAAACTGCTGTATGATAATAATAATTATCATTATTATAATAATAACTTTATTTCAAAACTTAAAACATTACAATAACTTCGCGTGGGTAATGGTTTTTCCTCTCGTACATTTCCAAATTAATTGACACGGAACACATCTGTTAAATTCGGTTCTCTAGGATCAGACTCATATCAGACCCAAACTAACTTTGATAACAAAAAATACCTACATATAAAAATCGCGAAAGCAACTACTAATTCATATTGAAAGAATTTCAAAAACGTGCATCGAAATTATCCTTATAAAAATAAATTACATTAAAAAAAATATATGAGAAGGGAAATGACACTCTTACTCTGAAAAACTGTAAAAAAATTATTATTATTATTATTATTATTATTATTATCATCATTACTATTCTCGAGCTCCCAGGACGTCTTTCAGTCTGCTCCCGCATGAGTGTGATGAGAGTAGACGCGGCATTACCTCTTCAAACTCATCGAGAATTAAGGTTATCAAGCAGGGAAAGGCTGCTAAGGCTATTAAAAAGTCTCTTTATCAAAGGCTCTTAAAAAAAATAGAAACTTATCGCGAATTTTTTTTTTCAAATAAAGAGTGAAATGCAGCTTAACAAATTCATAGCGATCAACGCGAGGGCATTTAACCAGTTTGTTAGTAGACCACCAAAAATGGCAACGTGGTGACTCTGCTTCGGAGAGAACTGCACTGGCTACCTATTAAATCTCAGCTATATCTCCGTAACGCCGTACTTGCTTTTAATTGTATGACCGGCTCCGCTCCTACTTATCTCTCCTCGAAGTTTCTAACATGTGGTGAGATAAGTGGTCGAACGACCAGAAGCTCCCAACTTCTGCATATACCCCTATATAAAACTAAATCTGGACAAAGGACTTTCTTTTATCGTACGCATAGTAAGTCTATGGAACAGTTTAGATAATACCCTCAAACTCTAATTCTTCTCGTGATTTTAAGCGTAAACTTAGAGCCAAATTACTTGCTGCTTTCCTTTCTCATTGCTCTTAGTTGTAACTTTGGTGAACATTTATCAACATTTTAGCTTCCTTAATTTTTCTATTATACTTTTTAGTACTGTAATTTTGTAATTTTTAGATCATTGTCACCGAAAAACCCTCTTTACGGAGTGTCAATAAAGTTTGTATTGTATTGATTGTACATTTACTTACTCGGTAATAAAGCGGAAGTTTTAACTTTCGCAACTGTAACATTAACTAGTCTAACTAACGACTTGTTATATAGTCGCGTAGCTTATCTAGAATATTTTGCTTTGCGCTTTTTCGTACTAAGAAGACACATTTGGGGATTTCGTTGAAAGACAATCAAAATTTGATCTGAGTTCAGATCCCAAAGTGCAATGTTCCATTTCAGGATGTTTACATGACATAATCATCGAAATCGCTTCCTCAGCAATTTTTGCTGAGTGCCGGTTTCGCTACGAACGAAGCTGAGACGATAGTACGGTAAGTTAGGATATGAAGCTCTAGCGCTCTTATTTCTTTAGACAGGGAATTTTTGATGCCTGAGAACGTTTCTTAAATCTCAATCGGATACCGTGGTGAACGGTTGACTGCGTTTAGTTGAAAGAAAGAAAATTCTTTATGGTATTAATCAAAATATCGACTGTTGTTTACGCCTTCAACTTAAAATGTTTATCCACTATTTGTGTTAGGTTTTAACTTAAAATGTACTTTTTCTGCAAAATGGGAGATGTGTGGACAGAAATTTCAGGAGATAAACGCAAATATCGATGTGATTTTCGTTCTTAGCTTTAGTTTCATTTCAAACATCGAATGTGGATACTAAACGAGCTTTGTATTTACGATTCCGTTCGTAATGATTTTCATTTGGTTGATCACACTATTTTATTCATCTGTTCATGTTTATGAGATGTTCTATATGACTCCGAAAGGAAAGAATCTCTTTTATGCTCATGATATTGATGCGAAGAAAATAAGGACATTACGGCGTTCTTATATAAATCAAACCTTTAAAAACTCAAGCGTCTTCCTCTCTCCCTCATGGACGGAGAGGCAACAATGAAAATACAACCGAGACTTGTTGCTGTGTGCTCGATGTTGAGGAATCGTTCGTTACTTGTGGTGTTCCATTAGGTCCAAGTTAACACATTTAATTGATGAGGAAGGCAAAGACATCAAGAAACGATGTACTCTAATATTATAACATTTATTTGAATGGATTTTTAAATGCTGCAACACGGAAATTGTATGCATAACTTAAATTTTACGAGCTTTCGATGTTGACCCGCGTCATACTGAATTTCTCTAAATCCGTTTGATCGCTCTGGTATTTCCTCCACAATTGAATGTTATAATTTTAATTTCTTTTCCTCTGGAAGTGACTGCAAGCTTTTAAACAAAAATACGAGTGCTGTGACGCTTGATAAACAATTTAGTTTCAACCCTACGAGGATCTACCCTTTGGGTACGTTAACGTGATTGAGAGTATTTAGGTTATTTGTATTTTTCAAGGCTGTAAAATTATTCGTGCAACGCCCCAAATATGATCAGAATGTTGAAAAAGGAAATAAGGAAATCCTTGTGTTTGATTGTTGTCCGGAATCGTTCTTATCAAAGTTTTTATTTCAAAATTAAGTTTTATTCTCGATGTTTAAGTTTTATTTCAACATCCAAGTTCTATATTCAACATTGTCAAACTCATTAATTATTCATAATGTGATCATCCAACCAAGACACGCCAATTTCGTCACCTGCATGTGGTTTGAAACCCCGGTGAAACTCTGCAATGACGCGTTATCCATTAGTTTCATAAAATATCAAACACTTGAGTTTGAGATACAGCGTTCCATTGCTCTTGTAACATATCTAACTGGCTCTATTACCTGATAAAGCATCCGCTTAGAAACTGAATTGACCAATCAGACGATGCGTACTATGTTCACTGTGTTAGAAAAGCAAATAGTGATCAAAAGATTCTAAGAAGCCACTGCTCTGGTTTTGTGTACAATGATATTTTCTTAAGATAATCGGCACAGTCTAATTACATATTGGATCACACTAAACCACTGACAAATCTGCAAAGGCAATAGCGACAATTTACTTTACAGATATGTTACAACCTAGCAATACTAGCCTGCGAGCAGGTCCTCATGATAAGCACTTCCGTATGAGTGCTTCTTCGCCGAGGTAAATTATGAGGCCTTGAGCTTCATGAAAAGATGCGCGAGAGGTCTGATAAAGGGGTCTAGCACCGAGAATGAAGACTCCCGGAAAACTTCTTGACTAGAATCTCCTATGTTTCTCATTAGTGAATTTCTATCGGTAAATGACTAATATATGAGCACGGCTACGTACTACTATTCGTTCGGTTTGACCATAGCCTCGGTAACCGGACCGTCAGGTACACATTGTAAGCTTGCCAAAGAAGATTGTGAACTGTTTATAATCTTTCGTCGATTCGTGATATACGATCATTGAATGTCACCTTTTCCCTGTAAATTTCAATTGTCTTTACAAGCTGACTATTCCACGTAATGCAGGAGGCACTGCCGCGCGCTACCTAATGTATCACCTTCTACTGAGGAATTACACTCATAAAGTACTCAATGATTCCTTTCCTTGTACGGGCTAAATCAACCACAGTTCTATAACTTTTTGCTTCCTGTGATATAGGTTCATTGCAGACCAGTGGCAGTGGTAATGGACGACGTGGATAAGATTTCTTGGGCTCTCTTCATTGCCATTGCAATGGCATCCGTTTTGCTTCAGACATGTCGATACAAAAAGGCTGTTGAGATATTCTCCGAGTGCTTGGTTCTTTTAAAACAATTTAAAACGAAAAAGTCAACTGCTTTTTCTGCACTAGTCTTTCACAGGTTGTTTGACCTTTACTGTCTTGTTGGTGATACCAAGAATGCGATTAAAAATGGAGAAGAGGCAATTTGTATCCATCTTCAAAATAGTGATTTCTCAGCTGAGTCGCGTTTAATTGTTGGAAAGCTTCTCCGCCGCCTCGAGCCTTTGTACGACTTCCCTAAACCTAAGGACTACTTTGGAAATGAACTTGGAATCTGGATAGAAACTGGTAATAAAATGGAACTTGGAGTGATACTCATGCAAATCGGCAGACTGCATGGGAATATGGAAGACTACAATTAGGCTAAACGTTTTTACGAAAAGGCAGTAGCAAGTTTAAAGGAGGCCGGTGATCGTTCCTTGATAATGCTGGGGGAAGCCTTAAATGATCTGGGAAAATACTATGAAATTCTCGAAGACTTTCAAAACGCAAAACGTATGAAATTTGAAGCCCTCGAAGTAAGTAAATACACTGGAAATGTGTTCGAAGAAATCATGATTTACCGGAATCTCGGTGACATCCACACATCTCTCAAAGAATTTCCTGACGCAGAAAATTGTTACGCGAGGGCAGTCTCTATTAGTAGAGAGCTGGGTGACAAAAGAGGAGAGGCCTTCACTTATAATGGCTTAAGAGAATTTTATCACCGTCAAAGCAACTATGCGATGGCCGAGAAGTACGCTAGGAAGTCACTCGAGGTTTACACGGGAATCGGTGACAAGGAAAACGAAGCTACTTTAAGTAGCGAACTTGGAAACCTCTGCCATTTTCGTGGAAGATACGAAGAGGCATTAGAGTTCCACCAGCGATCTTTTGACGTTTACAAGAAAACTGGTGATAAAATAGGAGAAGGACAACAATATGGTAATCTCAGTGCTGTATATAAGTCAATGGGTGATATCCATAAAGCAAAGCAATATTTGGAGCAGGCACTGGCAATCAACAAGAAAATGAATATCACACTAGGTCAAGGAATAGACTACGGTAATCTTGGAACTATCTATCAACAGCTTGGTGATCTTGCCAAAGCAAAGGAGTGCCATGAGGAGGCACTAAAGTTAAAGGAAGGAACTGGCTTGCAAGATACCATACCATCCGAGTACCATCACTTGGGAATTTCCTGTAAGAATGATGGAGAATATGTGCAGGCAAAAAAACATTTTGAGAAGGGTCTAAAGATGGCGAGAGAACTTGGTGAAAGAAGTCTGGAAGGATCATTTTTATCCGATTTAGGCGAAATGGAGTCTATCACTGGTGAGTCTGAAAAAGGAAAAACTTATTACGAAGAAGCATTGCAAATCTTCGAAAAGGTTGGAGACATCGCTAAGAAGGCATCAACGCTCCGTAATCTTGCGAGTGTTTATCGGTTGGATGGCGACCTACGAATGGCCGAAAGTTACCTTAAAAGTTCATTGGGCATCATCAAACAAATTGGAAACAAAAATGAAGAAAGTGCTGTTCTGGGAACCCTTGGAGATCTGTATTATTCGCAAGGCGAATATGAGAGAGCGACATATGTATACCAACAAGGACTAAGCTTAGCAAAAGAAACTTCCTGGAAAAGAGTGGAAGCGAACATACACAATTCCTTGGGGAGTTGTTATGTCTATCAAAAGGATTTTCAAAAAGCGAAGACGTGTTTCCAACAGGCCCTTTCGTATTCCGAAATGATGGAAGACCTTCGAGGCACAAGCATTTGCTGCTGTAATATTGCATCCGTTTATTTTTTGACTCAAGATTTTGAAAACGTTTGGTTGTACCTTAAAAGAAGTATTAAGGCTCTTGAAGAGGCACAGACATCAATTGGAGAAAGCGAGTATTACAAGATCGGCTTTGTTGACAAACACGATGGACCCTATCAATTCATGGTTACCACATTGATCACATTAGGAAATTTTAATCAAGCTTTGTCAGTTGTAGAGCTTGTACGAGCCAGATCACTTGCGGAGTTGATGGTTAAAAGATATTCCGCACCACCTTTACCTGACTTGGATTCCAGCCAATTAACTGATTTCCGTCATTTCGTTCGAGATAAGAATAAGTCCTGCCTATCATTCTGTTTTGTGCAAGGAGATCTTCTTTTCTGTTGGAGTTTAAGGGCTAAACGAGAAACGATGGTGAGAGCGGTTAAAACAGAAGATTTCCCTGTAAACATTCGACCTCAAGGTATGTCAACTCAAGACTGGGTAAAGAATCTTGCGGATCAGTGTTACAGACAGTTTTCACTTTTGCGAGGCGAACAGTGTGAAGATCGTTTGCTATTTCTCCGACAAAGATTTTGACGGACGATCTCCAGCCGAGCCTCAAGAAAACCCACAATTTGAACAAAGCCAAAACACCTGCCAAGTCGAGGAGAAGAATGAAGGAGGTTCAAATAAAGAACCACCCCTCAAAGTGTTGTATAAAGTCATTATAGCTCCTAATTTTCTGGAAGGCTCTGAGATCATTGTCGTCCCTGATCGTTCGCTATACAGAGTTCCATTTTCTGCATTGATGAACGAGAAAGGCGAATTTCTGGCAGAGAGGTTCAGGATTCGGTATGCTCCATCTCTGACGACTCTCAGGCTGATCCGAGACAGTCCTGAAGATTATCACAGTGAGACTGGTGTTCTTATAGTTGGCGATCCTGATGTTGGCACAGTCACGCACCAGGGAAGTGAGTTAACACTTCCTCGATTACCAAAGGCTAAAGAAGAAGCTGAGATAGTTGGAAAGATTCTTAATGTTCAGCCCTTAACTGGCAAAGAAGCTACCAAGGAAGCGGTACTACAGAAGATACACTCTGTAAGTCTCATTCACATTGCTGCACACGGTGAAGAAGAGAGAGGTAATATCGCATTAGCTCCATCCAACCGTGAGAAGGACGACTTTCTGTTAACAATGGCCGACATATCAGCAGTCAGATTGCGAGCCAAGCTGGTGGTGCTCAGTTGCTGTCAAAGTGGAAAAGGCCACATCAAAGGTGAAGGAGTGGTTGGAATAGCTCGAGCCTTCTTAGGATCTGGAGCTCGCTCAGTGTTGGCATCTCTCTGGGCCGTGGACGACGAAGCAACAATGGAGTTTATGAAGCAATTCTAAGAGCACTTGGTGGACGGGAAAAGTGCCAGTGAATGTCTCCACGAGACCATGAAATGGATGAGGGAGAACCCTAAGTACTCGGAAGTGAGAAAGTGGGCACCGTTCGTGCTGATTGGAGATGATGTGTCATTCAAATTCGCAAAATAAAAGTAAGTTCCAGGATGAAGGTAGATACAGTGATACAAAATTAAGTGAATAAATAATGACCTTTCGAAGTATGCTTGGCACATAGCAACGTATGTCGAAGTAAGCTTGTCTTTTAGTGACGAAATCTTACATTTTCTTTTCTTGTTTTAACAGTGAAAGAAACTCCTTCCTAACTGAAAGATCGAGAAAGTATCACGTGTCTCAACACTATAAACAGGACCGATGTTGCTGTTATGAAGGAGAGGAAATCCCTTCATTTCAATAGACTATTAATTTTGTAGTTTATAATCATGGGTTTTACCAGACGTGTTCTTCATTTGAGAATATCTCCGTAGTCTGCCTAGAAGTGCCAGGACGGGGACAACATAGGATGAAATGCAGTTTGAGTCGAACAAGAGGACGAAAATGAAATTAATTTATTAATATACTGCCGTGTTATACTGGGATTTCCAAACCCGAGAAAAGCCGTAACAATACACGTGAAAAAACAAAATAATTCGTCACTTAAATCGCCAATCAGCTGCCGACACGTCACTCACCTTTCGCGCTACTCGGTTATGTTGATGAATGAATGGCAAAGCCTTCACCTTTCTCAGTTAAAGGTTGTCTGTCGAAATTGTGTCGGATTATGGCGGCTAAAGCACTGAAAAATTCGTATCGCTTACAGGCAATGGCATTTCTCGTGGCTGAGAACGAAAATCGAAAAGTAGGAGATTTGCCACAGGCCGATTTTGCTGGTAAGGAAAAGGTCAATAATTGACAATTTTGTAAATTGAAAGTCACGTCCTTAGTTTCTTTTTGAGCCATATCAAAAACTCACATTACGACTTTTTTTCGGGGACCGTGGATCCTTTTTTTTTTTTCAGTTATCGATAAAGTCGACGTTCTTGTCAGTAGAAGACTTGTATTTTTTGATGACAAACAAAAAAATCCAAAGTTACTTGTAGATTTGGAATTTCTCTTCTGATGTCCAAATCATAATTTCACTCGTGAGCTATCGGACACTTGAAGAGAGAGTCCATATCTACGCGTACCCATGTATTATTCTCTATATTTTAATTAAGTGATTGTGAATTAAAATCCTGATTTGAAAAGCTTTTAAAATCTCTTTAAAGTGTGACTGTTATTTTTAATAAACCTCGTGTGTCAAACAAAAAAGTAACTACAAAATTATTTGATTATTTAATTTGAAAAACTAGAATTTAAACAATGGTGATGAAAATGAAAACTATAGGCTTAACTTGTAATCTGACTTAATCATCCAAATCTTTAATCATCCTCGCTCCTTAAGTTATTCTTAGCTTTAATCCATGAAGTATAACCCCTTTAATCTTCTACAGGGACACAAGAAAACAAGTTTAAGTAACCTTCAGGGTATCCTTTATAACTTCGGGGTTGAAGCATCATTTGTCACACTGTACCAATCGGGAACACTCAAATCGAGAAGAATGAAATATTCTTATCACTTTAAAAGGTGATAAGTATATTTCGTATATACTTGCGTATATACTTATCACCTTTAAAAGGTGATAAGTATATTTCGTATATACTTGCGTATATACTTATCACCTTTAAAAGGTGATAAGTATATTTCGTATATACTTGCGTATATACTTATCAC